GTGTTTACTTGAAATTTTGTTTAGTTTTGGCCATGCAGATATAAGTCCTTCTGGCTCATCAAGACAGGAGTTTACTAGTCCTGGAAACTTTTAGATTTTCAGTATTAGAAGAATCCCTACTAGAACTTTCAGAAATCTTCCTTAGCTTATAAAAGGTTTTACTTCTAGTAAAATAAAAAAATTATGGTAATCCCATCTTCATGTAAGTCTATCAGTTCTTCTACATAAGAGACTTCTTTATTGTCCCTGCTTAGTTTCATTCAGTATATTCATGGTCTCTCTGCAGCAGCCTTGCTCCCCAGAAACCCGAGATTTTTGGTAACATTTATGTCAACACTCTTTACTTCCAGTCTTTGTTAATTTTGGACTGCTCTTTCATGGTATATTATCCCAGGAGAGCTTTTAGTGTCTTTTTCTTAAGTATGACAATCCCTACTAGTACCTTACAAAATGTCAATTATACTGTTTTTGTCAGCACTGCAAACAGTTCCTGTGATAGAGTTCTTGTCCGGCGTCTCACCTCACCTCTGCTCCCTGCCATGTCTGCACCAGTAATTTTTCTGTCAAAGATTGAAGGGCCAAGTTTTGGATTATGCTTCTCTTTTTTAATTGTGCAGCAGCATTTGTCATATGTTCAGACCAGCCTTTAGGGACTAATAGACATTCAAAGCTCTAGATAAAATTGTTCATCTTGTACAATCTAGTTTGGCTGACTTTTCTTCTTGAAGGCTTTGTTTACCTGGAGTAAAAAAAATGTGTTTGACTAGAAGTGAGTATGACCCAATGTGCATCAGACAGTGAAGACTCTTTTGTTTGTTTTTTTAAAAAATATTAACATTAGAGTGACTTTTTGGATCTTGAATGAAAATGAAAATGACAAACACTGTAATGTGAGAAGGCTGTCTCCTGAAAGAACCAACCTGCATCTCAGCTGATTAGGCAATAACTTGTTAATTTAAAAATGTTAGTAGCTGAGTTAGTGATGAAAATAACGGATGACTGAAGCCTTAAATAAACTTAATGTTTCCTTTCTCCTTAATTCCTAACCAGTTCTTGATTTCTAATCCGTTAAGAAAGGATGAGTGGGCTGCAGCTGTTAGAATCTTTGGAACATGATGGAAACTGTTAGAATCTTTGGAGCATGATGAAAACAGAATCAGTCAGTTCAATTAATTTGCTCTGTTCAGTAAAGCCCTTTTCAATATAAACGGTGACAGAAAACTTTATATATTGTTGGTTAAAACCTATGTTTATTTTTAAAAGTTTAAATGTTTTTTTTAAACTTTCCTATGTTTTAGTGTGTTTTTCTAAATAGTATTTGACATGCACAGCAGTATTTCGTTTACAACATACTGAAAATGTGGAGCTGTAATCATTGCTTAGGTGTAAATGCACCTAAGTGTGCCTTATTGGCAAGAATATAAAATATATTTCTGTTATAGAAGGATATTAATTCTACAGGGTCAGAGCAGAACATCCGGGGACTGTTGTTGTGGGTTGCAGTCATGCAGTTACAGCCCCTCAGCCAACCCCAAGCCTAACTTTGTCTCATCTCCGTCAGCTATTGAGATCTCCCTCACAGTGCAATAATTTCTCCCAGGCATCGTGGTAATTTTTTCCTTCAAGAGGAGAGATGCAAAACTAAGTGTAGTGAATTTTTTCTTCTCTGTTATCAGAAGACTGACAAACGTGTTTGCCAAATGCAGTTAGCAGCTTAGTAGCTAGCAAAGCCAGAAACTCAGGTTTGGGCAGGTGGTATTACTTGCAGATAAAACAACATATGAAGTCTGAGGAGATTATGCAATGAACTGTCTACTTGAGGATTCTGACGCTATTTATTTATTTATTTATGTGTTTATTTTGCTTTACACATCCTTGATGTAAAGCAAATGTTAAAAAAAGCACAAAACTCATCCAACCAACCAAATAAAAACCAACCCCCCACCCCAGCATTTTAGATCTACATAGGTTAAACATTTGAAGGAAAGAAACAATCATAATTTCCACAGTATGATGGGGTCACAGTAACACCTTCATTTGTTCATTCACTTCTGGTGTATTGTGATGGAGGCAGTTTACTTGGGCCCAGTTAGGAGGATTTGTGGATTATAAAATTTAGTTTTTACTAAGCAAACCTTCACAAAATAGGCAAGTGGCTTAAAAAAAATTCCTGCAAAGAGATCACAGATTGAAGATAATACTAATAATATGAATAATAAGAACATGGCAGAGCTGATGCTGCTTCTACTCCTAGCATGAGCTCTTGGTCAGATATATTATGAGATAAAACTGTCAGCAGTTACGTGTGACAAGACGTCAGCCAAAACAATTTGGTTTATCAAGAATGGTATTTCAAATACGGATGTACATCCGCTATTGGAAATGATGAACGTTGTTTCTTGAGGTATCAGCTGATGATAGTATGAAGCCATCACAATTAACAAGGCATTTAAAACTAAGCACCCAGAACACGAAGACAGCCATCGACAGGGTTTTTTTTTTCAGCAATGTTGAAGTCATGATGTACTCAATTCAAGACTTTACAAGATTTCACTAAACTTAGTGATAGATCATTAGAAGCCTCTTTTGAGATTTCTCAGTAGCAGAAGACACAGATACTGTTGGGGAAACATTTCATCTTCCTATGGTACTATAAATGTCTGAAATAATACATGGTAAACAATGTGGTGACAAACTAAAACACATTCTTTTGTCAGCAGATATTGTTGGAAGATGTCTGGAAAACATTACCACAGTTCTGAAGGAACAAATATCAGAAAAAATTACACAGTGGGAGAGGCTTGCTCTACAGACATTTGGATGAAAGTATAGGTGTTTGTGGTGTGGCTCGACTTATGGTAATTGCTAGATTCTGTGTCCTAATGAAATTCACAAAGAACTAAGTCATTAGGAAAAGATGTACCAGACAAGAGACATTTTTGAGCATAAATTCTAAACAGTGTCTTCTTAAATAACCTATTTTTTTTTTAATGGAAAAGCTGTACTAAAGTAGCCACAGATGGAGTGGCTGTTTTGACCAAAGTAAAAAAGATTCTTGGCTAAGGTTACAAGTTGAGCACAACTTGCAGAATTCATTCACTGCATTGTGCATAGGCAAGCAACAAGGAAGTTGGAGCCATAAGTGCACAAAGTGCTGCAGGATGTCATTATTGTGGTTCATTGTATGAAAACAAAGCCTTTAAATAGTAGAGTATCTAACATAATCTGTAATGACACTGGGTGTGACCAGGAAGATCTTGTGTACTATGCAGAGGATCACTAGTTATCATGGCAAAGTGCTTAGAAGAGTTGTAAAACTTGAAGATTGATTACATGTTTTATCTCACAAAAAACCAAGTGTTACGAATTTCCTGACCTGTTTGGTGATAACAAACTGACTGTCAGTTATTAAAAAATTTAAATAAATAAATAAAGACACTTAACACACCCTCACTTGAAGGTCAAGATGGTATTTTAACAAGTAAGAAACCTATTGCTTTTTGAAATAAACTTATGCTATGGAGAAAGCATTTTGAAAATGGATGTTTTGAAATGTTTCCTTGTGTGATTTTTGTTGCCAGAAAAGATGTGTCATCTGTAAAACCTTCCATATTTGAGCACTTAAACTTGGAAGCAGAATTCCTTATCTGCTTAAAAGTCCTCCCAGTTAAGAGTTTCAGAATCTGAAAATTGGATAGAGATATAAAAATGTGCCTTCTGTTGGTTTACAATAACAAGTGATTGATATCAGGGAAGATGAAAATTTATAGTCATATTTCAAGAAAAACCTTTGCATAATTAGTGGATGGAGATGCAAAATGAGTGTCATGATTTAGAAAGTGTAGCCAGTGATGTACTTTGATTTGGATGTACATATCTCTGTAAATTGTGTTTGCTAGCTATGACAGCCAATAAACTGAATTTAAAACTAGACCATCAAATCACTGTATTACGAAGTGCTAAGTCAACATTTTAAAAAATGCTGAAGCATATTCAATCACATGGCTCTCACAAAAACAATCCAACATTTAATCCTTTTAAATTTCTGGTTTTATATGTTGTAGTATATATGGAATGTATTAGTAAAGTGGTACATATATTTAATTTATAAATAAATACACACATATTGGGGGTATGTACTCAAAGTTTTCGTAGTTATAGAAGTGCATGATCAAAAAGGCTTGGTGACAGCTCTTCCAATATTGTTGTTGAAACCAGTTGTGTCCACAGAAGCAAATATGTGGAAGTTTATCCAGATCAGGGAAAGTCTATTTTGCATGTATATATTCTTTTCTTGTGAAAAGTAGTTGTCTGATAGAAGCAGGATGTTTTACTTCTAGATGTGAGCCAGATGTAGTAGTTCAGAAGGACAGGAGTGATGCTGTGTGCATGGGTAGGTGCTGGGATGCCCCAGCTGGGATGTGACACACTCAGTTTTAGTGGCTGAGTGGTGAGGTGGGGTGTTCTTGTAAAGTGCTTCCTGTCTCAATAGATGAGGGAAGTGATTTGTGGGTGGACAGCAGTGGGGCAGGAAGCTGGTGGCAAATGTAGGGATAGAATGCAAGCGTTTGAATTGCTCTCCTTACTGCTCGAGTGTATTGTTCTGGTGACAGCATGATTTTCAAGCATGTAAATATTTCAAATGTTTTGTTCATTTGAAGTTGTTGGTGCTCAGTTTATCTGAAATCAGACCATAAGTATGTCTTCAAGAGAGAGAATTATTGATATATCACAGCTGAATTTCTATTCTTGCCTTACACAGTTGTTCTAAGCTATGTAAATATATACGTTACTGAAGTGTCTTGGCATCCTTAGAGGTGTAACGTGGGACAAATTTCCAAAGTGTTTGCTTTATTTAGCTGCTGTTATGAAATAATGTGTTCTGCTGTACCTAAGTAATATTTGGTAACTTCTTGATTAGTTGAACATTTTATTTAATAGCTGTAGCTGACATGCAGAGATAAGTACTTTCTAATAAGCTATCTGTTTGCTTTTTTTAGGCTGAAGCCTAAACCTCTGACATGGCCACAGCCTCACCAAGATCTGATACAAGTCACAGCTGTAATGGAAGATTACAGATGCAAGTAACAGGCAAGTAGAAATTTTACAGGAAAGCATATGTATTTTACAAAGACAATCCTGAAAGTGAGTGTTAAAATGAGCTAGTTAATATCTTAGTTAATGATATGAACATTACAGTTAATAATGTGACTATAATATATGTAGATGATTTGAGGCTAAATAGAGATTATACAGTGAGTTGCATGATAGGGTTTAATAAATCTTCAAAATAATAAAAAAAAGGCATTCTGTACAACAGTACAGACAATTGCAAGAAATTTTGCTTGGGAACAAGTGGTTAATGTGACGTGTATTCTGAAGAGGGAACACATATTTCTGAAATTCTACAAAAAGGTTGGTGGTTGTAGTGAACCCCCAGCTGAAAATGGGTACAATGTTTTAGTGAAGGTGGGGAGCTGGAGGAGATCACAAAATTTGCTAGCCCTTCAGAAGATTCAGTTCTTTCATTACATATCAGGTAAGCCACAGGTTAGACTTAACAGACATATGAAATAATTTAGGTTGGAAGGGACCTTTGGTGATTTCCTAGTCCACTCTTCTGATGAAGGAAGGGCTACCTTTGAAGTTGGATCAGGTTGCTCATTATGTTGTCCAGCTGAATTTTCAGTGTTTCAAAGCCTGTAGATTACCAGCTTTCCTTGTGATAAGCCATGTCACTTTGAATGTTTTTCCTTCTATCCTGTTGCATTTTGCTGTGTTGTCTCTTTCTTCCTTTTGCTCTGCTAGTTGTCATAGTTTGAGGCAGAAGTAAGCCATCCCAGTATCCATGAATATTTCTAGAAAAACAGTCCTGGAAATTTCTGATAGTGCTGGGGACACTTTCTCAATAGATGTTGAACAGGCCAAGTAGATTATGCATTTTGCTGCTGATGGACAAGGGCTGGTCAAAGATGTGACAATTGTTGTCGGTCTTAGCTACTCTCTCTGTGGGATGGCAGAACAGAACTGAGGCTTCCTGGTAGTCTGAAGATAAGCAAAGTGCATTTAAGTAAACAAGTTTGATAGCTAGTGTTACAGCAGTTAAAAGTAAAAATGCTAACCAGCACATAGGTAAGATACTGTATAAATACACCTTCCATAAATATATATATATATGTGTGTGTATTTATGTGTATAAGTATTATCTTACCATTGATAACTAACTTGAGCTTTCCAGAGATTTTGAAAAATGTGGGAATGCTGAAGTAAAAATGGATGCATGGCTAGGAATATATTAAGGCTATCCTGAGCAAAATTTGGGAAAAACATGAGTAAGATACCATGTCTTAATAAAGGCTGCATCTAAAGAAAGATGCATCTTGCTGGATGATCCAAAGATGGCCAGGTTATCTGAGAAAAAATATATTGTTGAAGAGTGCCCCAAATGGATATTTTATGAAATCAGATAAGAGAGGAGCCTCAAAAATTATTAACCTTATGTAAGGAGCACATTATTCAATAATGTGATGAATCATCAAAACTGGCAATGACTAATAGCAGAGATGGAGCCACCTGTCGATTGAATGTATATATATATAACTGTAAACTAACTTACACAAATGACCCTTAATTTCAGATTTGTGTCTACAAAAATGGTAATTTTTTATCTTGTGCTGAGCTCCTCCTTATGTAAATAGTCTTATATTTTCTGGTGCTGGGACTTCTTTTGACTCCAGGAAATCTGGGTCAGGGCTCAAATGGGAAGAAGTCTTTACAACATTTGTGATTAGTTTTCTGAAAGTTTAATTCTCTAAACCTCATCTTGCAGGATCACAGGAATGAATGCCAGTGGCATTCCCAGTAGTGGGAGGCAGAAGAGTGTGGGACTGTTGTATTGCTGACCTGCACTGCATATTTATGTGCAGTTTTGTTTATGCTGCTGTAGAAGCTATAATTATTTCAAGAACTATACTTAAAAAGCACTTTTATAAGGGCAGCAAGTATCTTAGACTCATTTTGCAAATAAGGAATTTGTATGGAGTGGTGACTTGTTTGAGTTTGGACAGATACAACATGTTGTAGACATGCTTTGCTATCAGTACTTTTTCAAACATTCATGGTGAGATCTTCTCTTGTTAGTTCTTTTGGAAGTCTTGCTGGTGTTATTACTTATTCATGGTTTTTTTAGAAGAACCAAAAGATGATCATGGTCTCCTATTATGTTTGGGGACTCAAAACTTACTAACAAAACATAGTCAGATAAAAGAGGGAAAATTAAGAGGAAGCTTGAATATCATTACTAAATACCTGTGTTTTAATAAATGTTGTATTTTCCTTTGGAAAGCAAATTATGGAGGAAAATGTGGAAGAAGTAGAGGTTGTCAAAGCTTAAAAATATATCATGATTTCAGAAGAAAAAATATGACTTGTGTGTGGAATTACAGTTTTAGTTTTCTACAATCCAGCTTTCATCATTATCAGGGCTGCAGTTGCCTTTTATGACCCATGATGCATTACTAAGACTGGGTTTTTCAAATGTGAGGAAGTTAAGTTTGCACCTTTTATTTGAAACAAGTAAAAGTCCATGGCTAGTGCCTTTAGAACCTTGGATGGTTGCATCCCACTAACTAATGTATACATCTCAGAATACTGCAATCCAGAAATATGTCTCCCTTTCAGTTTTACTAAACTTCCATGTTGGGTTAGCAAGTACCATAAAGGAATGGAACAGGGAAGAATTATTTCCAAATGGCTGAAAATACTCAGCCTTGTTTTATTTTGCAAGTGGAGGGAACAAGAGCCACTCTGAAGCAAGGGAGGAGTTAGAGAAAAGGCAGAGCCAGCAGGTAAATGTAGTTGAAAGTCCATTCTTGTGGTCTTTTCAAGACACCATCTGCCTGAAATAGAATTTAAAATCTTGGCAGTTAGGCTGCTATTGGTTTTCATAGTGACTTACTCAGCTGGGCATGGAAGAGGGAGGACAGATTTATGTTCAGGAGCGCAGAGGAACTGACCACTGATTTGGAGGTGAAAATAGCTTCTTTGGTCAGTGGTGTTTCTTAATTTTTGAATATTTACCTGAAACCTTTGAGTTCATCTGCAAAGCTGTTTAAATAGGGGAAATTTAAGACTAGCTTTCTTAATTGTAACAAACTGATTTGTAAATCCACAAATTCAACCATGCAGGAATACAGGCAAAGAAATTAAGCTCTGTATACAGCCTTTGCTATAGAGGGACATTTAGAAATATGCATGAACTGCATCGCCTTTCATAACAACATATAACTAAAAAATAAAGTCTGTCTGATACCCCCTCAGATGCATCATCAGATGTATCATACTTAGGCATTTTTCAGTTAAGGCAAGAATAGGGAGAACAATAAGAAAGTAACCTACGTTATTTCCAGTGTTTATCCTTAAAATAATTGTGCTGTCTCTACAACCAGTCCTGCCAGTATGTGGGGAAAAGAGTATATGACACTTGGTGTCAACTATCTGACAAAGTAGCTTCTGAAAATAAAAGCTACTAATAAAATAAAATGGTAATTTTTTGCATAGACTTCTTTCTGTTCAGCAGAAGTAGAGTAGGTGAGGAAAAATATTGCCTGGCAAAGTATTTCATACAGTGTGTAGGCAGGACATTTTCTGTTTTTCAGCAACAGTATGCTGTTATAGATAAAGCAATGTATTTTATTAGTTTCTAGTGCCAAACTGAAACGGAAAAAGAATTGGTTTGGAACAACTTTCTACACGGAATTAACTGCAGATGGAGAAATTAAGAAAACAGCAAAATCAAGTAGTTCTTCAAATCCCAAATGGGATGAGCAGCTGACAGTGTAAGTAGATTTTTTGGTTGTTTGATACTATTTATTAGACAGACATTGCAGGCAAATATTTACTAAGCTTGGCTGCCTACATAGTTTGCTCTGGCTGTTGATGTCTAAATGCAGACGTAAGTTGGTATTTATCTCAAATGATTTTTCTTCTGAATGCTTACAATGTTTTGAGAATATTTTTTTCCTACAGAGTGTGTTACTTACATACAGTGGCACTACATGATATAGTCTTGGTATTTGTTAGCACTTTATTTAGCATACATTGCTAGAAAGACTTACTAATTGTAACCATGTAATTCTCAACTTTAGAAAGAAAAAAGTCTCAAGTGGATAAGTAATAGTTATGTAAGGTCACTTTTTCCTTTGAATTTCTCAGTGAAGGGATATGCACATAAAATCTGCAGTTAACTCACACCTTACCCTGATATTTGACCATTTTAATCTTCTTGTGGTTTAGTTGGTTTAACTCTGCTAGGGGTGTAGATATACCTGAATAGGATTCCATGAAGAGCTGGCAGTCATGCACTTGGTCAGAATGCTTTATTCACAAGCAAGATTGTATTGGTTCCGACTTGGGTCTGGGAACAGCATAGCTCCTATCAAGTGGTGTTGAGCCTGGGCCAGTACATTTTACAGCATCTGACATGTCTGTGTGCAATAGCCCTCTTTGTTAGCAGTAGAAGCCATGCTAGATTCCAGTAAGTGCTGGAGAGAGGGGAGTGGTAAATCTTTGGGGAACTTTTTGCTTGGGATCGCTTACTTACTCCAGACCTGGTCAGAAGCAAGTAGGTATTCCTGTGCCTCATTTCTTGGTATTTCAGGTTTAGTGAACTTATTAGTCCTTTACAGTGTTGCAAAAGAGAATAACATAGTCTTGGACCTGAGGATGATTTCCAGGATCAAGAACTAGAACAACTACAGAGCTATCAGTATATTCACAGGGACCTGAGTTTCTCTTGAGGAGGCAGGTTTGATTTGTCAAGATTTGGTGATCTGATAGAAATGAGGTAAATTGCAATGCATAGTAATGGCAGACTCATTTCATAATGAGTATTGCTTACTTAGGGTCTTACCCTTATATGTATTTTTAAGGTACTGGCCCCCTCTTCCTCTGGCTATTGGAATGGTGTTTGAAGTTAAGTGACCTCTCTGGCTTACCAAATTCCCCTCACTTCTATGGGTCAGCAATATATTGGTGTGTGTAGGTGTTGGGGATTTTTTCCTCTGCTTTGTCGAGCTGCTCTGTTACTAAGACCTCCCTTAGAAGGCAGCCTTTTCAAAATGCAAAAATATATCTGCTTGTGTTTCATCAGAAATTATCCACCTTGTCCAATATGTTCAAATGACTGTAGAGTTAGTCCTGTTGTTTTTATTATTATTCTCATCATTAGTGATACAACTTTCTGTATATATTCGGTCAATGCTGATGGATATGTGGCCTTTGACTTTTTGCAATGCAGTGCTTCTACTCCTGTTTTTCACAGCCAGGACCATCTTTGCAGTACTAGACCCTGTATTACAAAACTTACTCTCCAGGACCTAGCATAGCTTGAGCAGGGGAGAGATCAGTGCCAAAGCTTGTCATAATATTACTGCAATTGGGTCCTTTACCTTCTGCTTCCCTCCAGTTTTTACTTTAGCGTCATCGTTTGAATTTTCCCCTCTGATTTCTGTGAGTATGCCTTATGGTTTTATATATATTTGTGGATTCACAAAAAATGTTTATCGACACTTCCAGGCAGGCTGATACCTGTTGAGTGGGCTCTTGCTTGAAAATAGATGCTTCATGGCTTTTTTCCTTTTTGAAAAATATTTAGTATTTTTCTTTTCAGCGACTGACAAATATACTTCCCACCTTTTTCTCCACATTAAATATTGCAAGTTTTTAGCTAGAACTCTGGAGGAATAGGGGAAATAAGCCTTTCATAATTCAAGATTTGTTTTATATATATCTGAGATTTGAGCTGAGTGTAGGTTATTCTGATACTTCTTAAATTCCATAGACTATCATAATAATGTACTTTAAGTTTCATCCTAAGTGTAGTTACCATAGTGTTTGCAGTTCTTAGTTAAAAATTTCCCCTTGCAATACAATACTGCACTTCATTAGTATCAAGAAATACAATGAAAAAGTGAATAAAGTTCAAATACTCCTAATAACAAGAATGAATTCTTAAAAATCTGTATATATTTTTTTAAAATGTATTTTTTATGCAGGCATGTGACTCCACAGACTACGCTGGAATTTAGAGTGTGGAGCCATCACACTTTAAAAGCAGATGCTTTATTAGGAAGAGCCACTGTAGACTTGAGACAAGCTTTGGAAGCACACAATAGAAAATGTAAGTTATCATGAAAGATATATTGAATAAAGTAAAATTATTATTACTAATCTATATATCAAACTGGCAACCAGACTACTAACTAGACATGTAATTACAACTGATTTTCAGTTGATATCTTTACTTGTCTCTTCTAGAGATGTCTGTGCTGTTGAGAGCATTTTAAATGTAACAAGGGGATATAATACTTTTGAAACAAACAGTAGAGTATTAGTTGCTGAAAGTAAAAGCAGAAGTGATTAAATATAATGTTTTGTAGTAAACTAGTAACCAATTTCATAGAGGATCTGTTTTAGATTTGGTAACAAAAAAAAAATTAACTTTCAGAAAAGCTGTGTAATTTTTCATGTTTTCCTTATCTGGAGTCGCTAATAGAAATGCTGGATATTTGTCCCTCATAATTTAGCTGCCCAGAGAGCAATAGAAAACATTGATTAATGAAACAATTATGATCTTTCTTTTAGTACATTAGAGATTGATTGTTCCATGTAACTTCTAATATTAAATATTTTTAATGGAATATATCTGATTTGCTTTTCAAAATTTTTTTTTCTTTATTACAAGATGGTGAATCCACACTTTAAATTCCACTCCAGGTTGACAGTAGAATTCCAGCTAAACCAGTGTTAACCTTTTGCACAAGTTATATTTATACATAAACCTGAGGTGCCTGTTTAGAACAGTGGGGGGAAAGGAGAGCCAAAAAGAAAAAAAAAGCTAAGTTTTTCTGATTCTTAGAGAAAATTGAAACAGTGGATCTTCTTTAACAGTATTATAATGATTCAGCAGTAAATTTCATAATTAGGCAGAAAATTTTCTTATACATAATAAAACTGTATCAGAAGTAACTGGGTTATAATAATATTAGCCACAAAAAAGTATTTCTAAATACTTTCTACAAATTTCTAACAAAATTTCTAACAAATTTCTGACAAAATATTTAACATTTTATTACTGTAGATCCAGGGGAGGTAGGATCTAGCAACTTGACAAATTCTTTTAGGGAATGGTTGACTGAGTTTGCTGTACATTGCACCAAAAGTAATTTATGTGCAATGTTTCTTATTTGGGCAAGTCAATAGTAAGACACTGACTGAATTATCTAAGAATTCACTGGTAGAATAATCTGATTGGTATCCTTCATTCATTTAGTTATTGATACCTATTCTAAAATGAAGCACTTGAAAGGTTCTTTGCTGATGAATATGGAACGGGAAGTCCTCTAAATGCAGAAACGTTAGAATTAATTTAGTTACTTTTTCTGCTAAACACCACGACTATTAAATTGCTGCCCAAACACCTCCCAGTTTTCTTACCAGCTCAATTAAGCTGCAGCCAACAGTTAGAACAACTGGTTTAGGAAGATAACCTATCAAAATAGCAGAAGTTAAACCAACCGCCCTTTGCAAAAATTAAAAAATGTGTTAGTTAAACAATTCAGTGGTAGGTTAGTTTCTCCTCTTCTTTGAGATAGTACTTTTTTCCAAAAGGCATATTGCTAAAACAGTAATCCTGTAGATTTAAGAGCTTTGTGCTTGCTGAAGGGAGTTGAAGTTCCTTAAAATCCATTGTAGCACAGCAGTTTGTGTCTGCTGGTAACTGCTGCCCAACTACGCTGTCACACCTGCTCTTTCAAGTAATAGCTTGGGGGTATCTGGCAGTAGGTTATGGCAGCCTCCCCTCTTTTCATGTTTATTGTTCACTTATGATGCAGGCTAAGAATGAAAAAAAATGGAGAAGGTAGTTTAATACATAGAAGGGCCTAGTTTAAATTTAACTTTGAATGCTATCATATGGAGGGAAATATGATGGCATGTCTTTAAAAACTAATCTTTTAATCTGAGAGCGCAAATACTAAAAGGTCTCAACCATTTTAACCTGATTAATGTGAACTCCTAGCTGACTGTGTTTGGATTTATGACATGTAGCTTTAACTATTGCACTTGTAGCAGTTGATTTAGAGAGAATTACATTGCATCCCCAGCATGTTTTACCTCTGGATTATATATGTCTCTCTACAAATGTGTATATTGCTTGTCAGTCAGATTGAATTATGTTACTGCACCATCAGTTATCTCAAATTTTCTTTTGGTGAAAATAGTATCTGATTTAACTTTTGGTTACCTGAGGCATCCTCTCTTACTGTTTAATCCTTGGAGTTGCGATCTATGAAAATGCTGGTAAGGATTCATTAAAAATAATTGTAAAATTGAGGGAGGACTCTATGCAGTCTTTGCATTTACTTCTTCCTCAAAGAGATGTTTTTTTCAGTGGTCTTTTAGCATGTGTTTTGAAAGGCGCTATGAGAAATTAGTATAGGCTCTAGTTGTAAAATGAGGGGTTCCCAGTGACTTTTTAATATTTGGATGTGTGGTTCAGAAGTTGTTTGACTTTAGGCCATCACATGTTATGTAAGTAATGCATAATTTCCAAAGGGCTTAATGGAAATGGCAGACCTAGGAAATCATTAACCAGAAAGTATTGAATCCACATGGATTCTTCAGCATACCTATAGAATATACTATGTAAATAGACAGTCCTTTTTTAAAATAAAGTGTGTATGTACACACAGCAGATATAAATATACATACAATACAGCTCCATAGTGATTTCTGCTTTGATTTGAAAATCTCTTATGTTCACTTTTATAGAACTAAATGCATATATCACATTTGTGTGTTGGTCTCTTTTAATATTATTTAGAATTTAATTTTTCCTTTATCCCTTCTTTCCTTCTTGTCCCCTACTCACCCCATTTTCCTCCATTTTTAGTGGAGAAGGTGAAAGAACAACTGAAACTCTCTTTGGAAAACAAGAGTGGCATGGTGCAAACAGGTGAACTGACTGTTGTGCTAGATGGTTTGGTTGTTGAACAAGAATCTCTTACAAATCTCAGTTCATCAGCAACCAGTAAGTTAAAATAATTAAGTCAGATGATAATATTTAGATTAAGATTTCAAACAGATGTAATAGAATATTTCTGTTGAATTTGTTTCTTACTGTTCAGTAGAAGTTCAACAAAATGGCGAGGCTGTACATGAAAGCAGAGATGCTTCAGCAAGAAGTTCATCCAGGTTGGAATTTATTTTTGTGTTTTATGCAATATGAAGTGTATCAGCAAATTGATCAGTTGAAATGTTTGGGTTATTTGTATTTTGGTGGGTTTTTTGTTGTATTTTTTAATGGTTTTGAGGATGAGCTATTTTAGCTGTTGAGGTCTAAATTATGTTGCCACAGGTTTTAGAAACCTTATTTGGATAATTACATAGTTTAGTTCAACTGATTTGGAAATCTATGGAAATACTGCAGCAGAAATTAGGGGAGCAGTGGCTCAGTGTATTTTTATGTACTTACTCAATTTATTTTCTTTTGCTGCTTAAGAACCATTTCTATTAATGTCTACCAGCCTTTTGCAATGTAGCACCTGAACGGAAGGAAGAGGAGAAAAAAGGCCTGAATTACTTCCTCCTCAGTCTTTTTAAGGTCATAATCAGGAACTTAAGAGACTTGTATTGAGTTTCACAAGCAGTATTTGTAACACTGAGGCCAAGGCCTGTTTCCTCCTGAAGTGGCAAGAAAAAAATATTCAGACCGATTAAGAGCTTAATTCTTGGTTTCTCTACCATTCTAACCCACTCAAGGACTGGTTGGAGAAAAGTAGGAATAGATTTTTTTTGCCCTCTAATCTCTAGTAAGACAAATAGGTCAATTCAGATCAATTGAATGTTTCTGGTCTGCTCAGTTACCTTGTGTGAACCCATTTCTCTTTAAGTTATTGACACTAACTGGAGTGAAAAAACATCCAGTTCCTATGCATTTGAGTGACAGGCACACATTTGTCCTTGTATGCTTGACTTGATTTTTTTTTGAATTTGTGGATGTTTGTCTCTCTTCCCCAACGGGTGCTCAAGATGATGGAGTGAGAATAAAATATTGCTTCTGCTTTTTTCTTTTTTGTTAGAAAGATTTCGGACTGCTAAAAGTGATTTGAAACACATCTGCATACCATTTTAAAGCAGTAATAACAATCATTTGTTTTCATTCCGCTATTGTTGCTGGAGATAATCTCTCTTACTGGGATCCTGCTTTTGATGTTGATATTTTAATTTACTGCAGTTTTCCACACAAATATCCAGCTGTTTTGATTTACAGTTTTAAAATTAAGAGATAAAGAAAAGATTTAAGGTAGCTTCTCTCCATGTGTTTTGGAGGTAAATTGAGTTTGTAGTCCAGAGCTGAAAAGGGATAATATTTCAATTCTCTGTTTATACTGATCCTTTGGAATTGGGTAAGGTAGCATGGAAATGCTGCTTCTTCCCTTCTTACTCCACAAAGTTGGACTTCTAACTCTTCTCACATTTTTTGTGAAATAAAATAGTGAATAATTTCACTATTTAACCTCTACTCCTTGAGGTGATAAGTAGTTGGCATTGAGTGTAATTTTCAAAACATGTGTCTCTGGTGGATGGCTTTAAGCATTCTGAAAGAGATTTAAGTAAAAAACCAATGTACTACTGTAAATGAACAAAACTTTCCATTCACCCTTAAAAAACGAGCCCTTAAAATACATTTATTTCCACGTGACCTTGTAAACACAGAGCTGCCTGTGCGTATTTGTCCTCACAATGCCCGTGCATAAAGAAGCTCATCTGCCAATGAGCAGAGAGCTCATCTTGCCAATGCATGGAGAAGCTCATATTATTTTCCTTTTACTGAGGGAGAATTTTGTTGCTTTCTTATGTTATGAGTATTTTTAGTGATATGACTGACAAAACCATTCTTCCTCTTGCTTAATGACAGAAAAAGCTTTCCTCCTCATAGCTGCACTTTGGAATGGTCCCTAAGGCCATTTTGGAAGATGTAGCAGGTGCATCAGTCTGTTCAATTCAATTCTAATGTGTCATTAAAAGTAAAAGAGAAAGTGAAAATGGAAACTCTTACCCCTTATAAGCATCTGAAATCCTCAAAACCGATTCTTGCCTTTTTCTTAACAGTCGAAGTCAAGTGTGAGACCAAAACAATTATCTAGGCTGCAAACACCATGCTATAAACAGTTGTGAATTTACCAGCATTTGTTTCTGTAGCATGGTTCAGTGTAGCATTTAATTTAGTTGCTAACTGTTTAACATGTTGCTTATAGTAACCTAAAATCATCTTTTATTTTTACCAAGATCTGCTTGTGACATTTCTAATGGGATAGACAATCAAGTACCTTCCAGCTCTGTAATACAGAATACGTCCTGTGTAGAAGCTGTTAATGGAGACAGCACAACATCTCCTGATCATGTTGCAACCAGACCCAAAAATACTCCAGTACCAAAACCACTCGAAGCTCAGCCTGTCAACAGCACTGGTAAGAATGGGAGAGTTACGGGAACGTGTTCATGAGGCTTTTTTGTCTTATTGTATCTCAAGTTGAGCTACTTTTTCTATAAAATTTTTGTTGGAATTCAAAAGTACTGAAAGGATGTGGCTTGAATTTATAACTTCGTGTGTCCACTTCTGTAAAATTTTTTGCAATAGATCCATTCTTAAATATATTGAGTTTCACACTTTATCATAAGTTCTTTTCTATGATGAAGGAAGATCAAAGTGTGTTCCATTTTTCTGTCTTGGATGATGAAACCATATTACTGCTTGTCTGGAGGAAAAATCAGTTTTCTTTCACAATTAATTTAAGTAACTATGGTTAAATTTTTCCTGACATTACATAAATCTGATTTAGGCAGGGAACTGCTGTGCTCTGAGTCGAGATCTCTTGCAGACTTTCCGTGCCCTCAGTTTTTTTTCAAAAATTCCGTTTAAAAAGAGGTAGTTGCAAATACTGAATTTTGTTTTCCTCTTAAACACAAAACTGTTGATTCTGACTACAGTTCACTTTTGGGTCAGTGAAACTAGTTTTTTGATTTGAAAAAAAGGTTTTTTATTTTTGTTCTTCTGGCATCTAATAATGACTCTGCTTTGTAAGCCCTTTGTCTTTTCTGAGCTGTTTGGGAGAGGTTACAGTGATAGCAGAGAGAAAAGAAAACCGTAAATAGAAATAGGCAAGTTGTTACTAAGTGGTAGAACAGAGATTGTCAAACTCTCTCTAATAGACTGGAAAATGTTGGTATGGTTGGAAGATAACAGAAAGAATTATGAACTTTAAAAAGTAATAATTAAATTAGGTCTTCTCTGAAGCTTTTCTCTCTTTGGAGAACTTTAATTTGATTCCCCTCTCTTTTCAGCTCAAGGCTAGAGGGCATATATATTATTAAGGCATTGCTCCCTTTTTCTTCAACAGCAGAGAGAGCCATTTGAAATCTTTATTAGGATAGGGTAATTGAAAAATAATTGATTTGTTCAAGTGGTAATATTGATGAGATCATCACTGACCTTGCACTGAGGCATTGATATAGGAGTAATCAACTACTCTGCCAGTGGATGAAGATATTTTCAAGGCAAGGCATAAAACAGATCTCTGGCATTTTTTGATGATACTTTTTTCCCTGCTGTTGTGCTTTAGCAGGATTGTAATTTTATGTGGTGTTGCCAGAATTGCTGTTTTAGGCATAATTGGTGAAGTAATCATCTGATGTAATGTTTTACACATCTGTTTTGGAGATGAACTTACTAATAGAGCAGATGATTTGTTCATTATTTTGCTTCATTTTTTTTTATGTAATTCTATTCACACTTTAGTGTGGATGAGTTGAATTTTTAAAATGGAAGTTGAAATTTCAGTTGGGTTTTTTTGGTGTAAATTAAGTTTTTGCTAGTATAAGCAGAAATTTGAGGAAACTTGATCAAATTGTTCATAGTTTTAATGTCATGCTGAAACGATATAAAATCTTGTTATGTCTTAATGTAGTTAATTTATTTTGTACCATCTGGAAGCAGTGTGTGTTACCCTGGAAAAGTTTTGTTCAAAAAGTAGTGCCTTTATAGAACTTAAAAATGTCTTGCCTGTAAAATCATGCTTATGCTTATGCATATCAAGAAAATTCATATGGTGCAGCGATAATTCTTTAGGGAAACTGACTTGCTAATTTAAATTCTGATGACAGAATTAAGTGAACTCTTTAAAATAGTGCAACAATATTTTATAGGCAGTAGTGTAGGGTTAAATTTTGCAAATGTGTATCAATAAGGTAAAGGGTATAGAATTAAATTCATTTCAGTCCTTAGCAGGGTAAGGTGATAATGTACTGTAAGGTAAGAAAATTGCTTGAAGCATGTGTTGCATATCCTTAGTTCATAGAAAATTGTTGCAGCTCTAAAACAGGTACAAGCTACTAAGTATAAATAGAATTGTCACTGTATGATGTTGATTAGTGGTGCAGAAAATGAAAGTGCTGAATGATGTTGCACTGCTTTTTATAAGGCCTTGACTTTTAATGGGTGTCCTACAGACTGCTGTACCTGATGTCACTTGTCTAAGTTAGACATGATCTTGATGTGCTGAGAGACTGTTCGGTTAAGCTCTGCAGATGATTGGTGTCTTGTTTGCCAAGTGGGCTTGGGACTAATAAAGCCTTCTTAGCATCCTTTGTCTGCTAAATCCATGCCTACTTTAAACCTTTTATGAGATTGTGCTTGCTTCAGTTTGATGGCATTTTTATTGTTCTATAAAAGATAGAATTGATTTACTTTGTAATTCTAAAGTAATATTCTTCAGTCATTGAACTATGTAAGTTGTGTTAGCCAATAATAGTCTTTATTCTATTTTTATCTATTTTATTTATTTCTATTTTCTAATCTAATCTATTAGATTCAATTTTTATCTATTTTATTTCTTTTTTCCCCCTCTTTTGGAGGGGGATTTTTTTTCCAAGTTGCACAGGTGTAGAGTTAATTGTAGGGTTTGGTACCTCAGCTCTGAAAAAGAAAATAAATTATCTGTAGGAAATGCCTCTTAGTTTTCCAAATCTCGTAATCTTCTAATGCTTGTTTTCATGTCATACTGATCAAGATTCTTTTTTGAACTTCAGTATAAGTTCAGAGTTTTAAAAAAAGGCTGTACAGTTTTGTAGAAAGCAGATGGGTGCTTCTTGCTAATGTAGACTGAGGTACAACATTGAGTTGACCAAGACATGGAGAAACTAATAAATAACTTTATTTATATATGTATATAAATATATCCCTATGTAACAGGTAAGTCCAGAGAATGGCTTTCAAACTGTAAGTTTTAACTGAAGGCAAGTGTGTTGTGACTTTTTGTCATCTTAGCCAACAGTGCTGCTTATGGCATACAGGTGCAACTTAAAACACATTCCTTTCAAGTCTTTTACTCTGGAAGCTGGTTATTTGAAAAGTAAATCTCATCAGATTCTGATACGCAGATGTTATTTCCCATTTCTCAGTTAATGGCGAGTCATCTGCCTCTGCACCTGAAGCTGGCAATTCCTCTGTCTCCGAGGCTCCGACGGGTTCAGTCGAAGCTCCTGTGTCTTCAGCAGATTGCACTAATGATACAGCAGAACCTCAGTCAGCAACAGAAGCAACTGGTTGTTCTGAAAGCCACACTTCTGCTTTACCTGTTGAGTCTGCTGGACTAGAACCTGCAGCTGCAACAGAGTCTGCTCAGCCTAATGCTCGAAACAGCACAGCAGCAGATGCGGCAAAGCCGAGGGAATCCTCCTCCACACCAAGCGCGTCTGCAGAACCCGTAAGACAGCAGCCTGGCACTGCCAGTACAGAACCTTTGCCACCTGGGTAGGTTGTTTTGCTTTAATGCTATCGTTTTGTGTCATCTAAATGTGCATATAAAGAAACAGAAACTTAAATCTATGCAGGGATTGTCAAATGCAGGTCAGGTGGCTGAGATGGGGTTATTTGATCTAAAATGGGATTTGTACTGCTGCTATAACTGGCTAGTCTTGTCCCAGAAAGTAACAACTGATAACTGATTTGCTGAGATGGAATTGTGATCTTAACAGACAAACTGTTGGGTGTAACAGATGTGAAGACTCTTCATTTGGTATTTTCAAATGTATTTTGGCTGTAATTCATTATTCCTTTGTTTCATAGTAGTAGGGACCAAAGCACAAAGAAGTGAAAATGACTAGACTATAAATGCTTGTAGGTGCTTGCTCTGTAAGAATGAGTTCAATAATGTTATAGTTAAAAATAAGATTTGATGTGTATGTAGGTATGTGCTAAGAAGAGCTGGAATATTTTAGTTTTGTTAGATTGTTAGAAATTGCTTTAGTAGTCTTTAGTAGTAGCAGGCCAGGTGTTCTGCATACATTTTTAGGAACTAATTAAGTGTTTATGTAAGAAAAACAAATATATATCAACTGTGGACAAGCACTTCACCTTTTCATCTAATGTTTATCCTGGTTTCCTCGACATTTATACATACTTTTATTGCATTGTGGTAGTTCTCAGCATTATGAAACTTCAGCTGTTGGCCTAGCTCCAACTCAATGTAGGATTGTTTTGCAAAACAAAATAATTCCCAGGGATATCAGATACAGAATTCACCAGGACAGGAAATAGAAACACAGGAAAAAAGAGCTAATAGCACAAACTTCAGATTTACCCTGAAAGATGCTGTTTGTTGGATATAGGGAACAGAGCTTCAAAATGAGAGTAAACACTCTCATTTTTTGAGAGACATGAACTTGGAAATGCAAAGAATGCATCTCTCTAAGCACTGTTGGAATGAGTTTTTTTAGCATCCAAGCACTGAGCATATAATTAATTGACTTTGTTCTGAACTTAAATATAATAGAAAAATTCTTGTGAATATTGGTGTATGCTCATTATGTGCTAAATCCTTTAAAGTCTTTATGGTGATATCATTTAAATAGGAAGTAACTGATATGTATTCTGGTGTGATTTGTTTTTGATGTTCAAGAATGGGTTTTGGGCCATGGTATTTTTATTCAATGCCAAGGTACTTTTTTGTCTTAGTGGGAAGTGCCAAGGAAGTATTTGCATCTTCACTTATGTGCAAGTCTCTTGTCTTGAAGGTGGGAGCAGAGAAAGGATCCTCATGGCAGAACCTATTATGTTGATCACAACACACGAACTACAACATGGGAAAGACCACAGCCCTTACCTCCTGGGTAATGTAGACTTTTTGAATTAAATATTATAAACTTACTATATTTTTGTTTGTTTATATGTTACTGGAAACAAACAGCAGCTCATCAAAACTGTATCATATATTAAGAGATTCTAGCTTTCATTTAGTTATATTAATTACAGCTATTGTTACAGGAATGTTGATACTGGATATGTCACTAGTTTTGATCACTTTTTCAAGTACAGCTACTAAAATAATTTATTCTTCCTTTAAAACTTAAGCATGGAATAATGCATATTTGATCACCTTCATTTAGGTGGCAGCACTAAGTGTAGTGCACTGGTTCCAAACCTCAGATTTCCCAGCAAAGTGTTCTCTGTGAAGTCTGCCAACATTTCTTGCAGTCACAGGTGTTTGTAAAGTTAAGAATGAGGTGACAGAAAGCTCAGCAGGCAATTGCTTGAAGTCTGTGTATGCTCATTGTGGTTGTTCATGTACCAATTAAGTTGAGGCACTTTTGTGTCCTTTAGAAATTGAAATCATGCCTGTGACTCCAGTAGTTCATTTAAGTACCACCTAGGAATTTGGCATAAAGAGAAAATTGGTTAGTAACACTGCCGAAAGAATGAACTGTTAACATCTGTGTTTCTTGAAAGCTGGGAAAGGAGAGTTGACGATCGTGGGAGAGTTTACTATGTGGACCACAACACCAGAACGACAACGTGGCAGCGACCAACAATGGAGTCAGTGAGGAACTTTGAGCAATGGCAATCGCAAAGGAATCAGCTGCAGGGAGCTATGCAACAATTCAACCAACGATACCTCTATTCGGTACAGTATACAACATTTGAAATCAGTACAGAGGTATAGGTATACTTTTTGTTATTGAACTTTAAAGAAAGGGATTTTGTAACTGTTCAACCATATGTGTTAAAAGACATTTAGCATCAGTAATTTAGATTCTGATTATTTTGAAAAAAGTTAAAAATCATCCTTTTATTGGATGAAAGTCAGAAAGTATTTCCAGGCAGAAAGTACTCCCTTCTGGTTTTTTTTCCTGACATCAGCTTTGTATACTGCATTTTACATAACATCTTTAATGCTAGCAGTAAGAGGTACAACTAAAACTGTCCCTTAAACTGAAAAGGAATGTAAATGCTGTTAGTGGTAATTTTGAGCATTAAATAACCTTAAAAACTGTTTAGGTGACTAGAATTTCTTCACTAATACAAGTAGCAATTCTTTTACTTTGAAGGTTATACATCTGGTTCAGCTCTGGAATTTCCTACGTGGTTTTCCATTTCTCTCACATGGTTGCTAACTTCTGCCTGAAGAAAATATGATCAGCTTCATAGAGAACGTTTCTTGAGTCAGATTTTCCCATGTGTGACTGGATAAGTAGAGTAGTTGTTTCTTCAGAGTTAAGGATGGTGGTGCTTGTGTATCACTGTCACTATAAACACTTTAAGAATTGTGCTTGACTTCTTAAAAAAATGATCTGATCCCAGAAACTTCATAAGTGATATGCAGAAAAGCTGGAATGTTTTAAAGACTAAACCTTTGAAGTACAAGTCTAAAACAGCTTCATTGGAATAGGACTCTCTGCACCTGCAGACCTAAGTTGAAATTTTATGGGCTTTATTCACACACCCTTCTGAAGTAAAGGATGCTGCAGTACTACATTTAAAAATTCTCAACCTCTCATTATGGAATTAGACATTATATCTTGTCACTAGCAATAGCAGAAACATGCATCACCACTAATTTTCTGAACTCCCAGGGCTGTGCATCAAATTCAATTTGTTTTATGCAATTAGAGAAAAGTAGAATGGTCAAGGATAGAAGGAACCTCTTAAGGTTATTTGGTCCAATGTCCCTCCTCAGGAAAGGCCAGCCATCCGGGACTGATTTCTTGTAAACATCTCCAAGGATGGAGACTCCACAAGTCCTCTTGGAAACCTGTGCCAGTGCTTGGTCACCCTCCCAGTAAAAAGTGTTTCCTGATGTTTAGAGGGAAGCCCCTGTGTTTCAGTGTGTGCCATTGCCTCTGGTCTTGCCACTGTGAACCAGTGGGAAAAGCCTGGCTCCATCCTTTTTGCACCCTCCTTCAGGTATTTAAATACACTGGTAACTTCTAATCCAAATTCAAGAATCACAGTGGCGCATTGAGCCAAAAACTCTTGCTTGGCCAACTTTGTGTACTTGTGTACTACTTTGATCAGTTGCATAATACATCTGAGAGAACTCTCACTTTTCCGAGGCCAAGATTTTTTTTTTTGGGCTAGATTTATCTTTCAGTGAAGAATATATTTTTAAAATTAAATTATGCTACTTCCTTCCTTCCTGAAAGGATAACCCTTACTGAAAACCACAGACCCTTAAAATGTCTCATCTGACCTTAGAATCAATAGATGAGGATTTGTTAGTGAGACAGAATATACCAGAAGGAAGAAAAAAGAAAACTTGACTGCTTGCATCTCTTTAGAATTCTGCTTTCTAACTATTATATCTGTTGCAGGGTACAACTCACAGTTTATTGAGGGGGAAAATTGACATCTTATTGAAGAAAGAGTGGTGTTTTTCTTTTTTACTTTAGTGTGCTTCTGTATACTTTTCTTCTAGAATAGTTAAGGTCAAACTATAGCTACCTTTTCATGCTTTGGTGACATACCAGGACTCTGCCTATATAGCAGTTTAAGTGAGACTGTTTTTTATTTTTTGGAAAAAAGTAGATGAATACTTTCAGTTAGAGAATGTTTCAATTACATTGAGTGGTCATAGCTAAACTATGTAAAGAAAGAAAAGTCCGTGGGATATGGTTATTTGAATTACTTTAATTTCTACCTGGATTAATTTATCGTAGTCGTTTTGGAAGTGAATCTGCCTTGTCTTTCAGTGTGTTCTGTTAAATATACAGCTCTGTGTGGCCAGGAGCCACACACAAATCCTCAGACTCATTAAGAAGGTTGGAAATATCTGAACTGTGCCACCATTCAGTTCTTTGGCAGGCAGCTTTTTCCTTTCATGCACTATTCTTTTACAGTCACCACAGAGAAGTCTTTGGTTAGAGGATTATTGTGATTGTGTGGTCTCCTAAAGCAGAAAAGACTAACTGCATTTGCTGTTGAAATAATGGTAAATTCTCTGTTCATGTGTAGTAGCCGGTGGCTGGAGCAACTACACAGCTTGATTTTGAGTGTAACTAATGCATTTCCTTCTAATCCTTCATCTATTTCTCCTTCAGAGAAAAAATATCATAGATTTGTTTTGCCTGAACTTGCTCCTGTAAACTCTTATTTGATATTTTTGTATTGCAAATGCTATATAAAGCAGTATTAGTTCCTAAGACACTCTTTGGAAAACACAGCTTGGTATCAAAATTCCATTCTTCACCCACACACACTAAAAGTTAGCGTCCACAAATTTTTAGGGGTGGATGCTTCTAATTATAAATCAGAGCATGGATCCTATAGTCTGTGGGATTTCTGCCTTTTATTTTTATTTTTTCCATGCTTTGTATTTTTGATAGGTACTTGGGGACTTCTGCAAGATTAGTGTATATTATGAGCTTAGCATGTGTTTACATAGTAATGTAATCTGGTTTTTTTTCCCCTTCTAACCTTACTGTATGTCGAAATAATTTTATCCATCCACAAAAGAATGCAGCTGCATTTTAAAAAAATGACAGTGTTTGAAAATAGCCAAACATCCAGGGAAGTTATTGTGTACTGAGGAAGTAAAACCCCCTATGTTGGCAGTAGTGACTGTGCTTGGAAATGTTTATTATGGTAAAACGTGTTCCTAAGCAAGAACATAGTGCTTATCTGCTGATCCATGCTTCCTCAAAACTTGCATGAACTGCACCTCTTTGTATGAGCACTCAAGTTTGCTGTAGGAAGGGAAAGGGAGGGTACATTGCATTGAAAACAAGTGTGGAAAGCCTATCTTATTATTATATAATCTAAGTTTCTTTGCAAAACCAGATTAAAAATGGCATGATGGGTTTTTTTTGCAGAATGAATAGTCTTCAGGACTAGTGGTAATCTTAGAACACACTGAGAAAATAATATGAATAATATTTGGCCTAACTGAGAAGTCCTCTTGTTTTTAAATAGGCTTCGATGTTGTCAGCAGAAAATGATCCACTTGGGCCTTTACCACCAGGCTGGGGTAAGTTAATTAGCTGTGGATTTCAGGAAGTGCCAGTTACAGAAATTTGGAATGCAGTTGTTGTATAGTGGATTTTTTTCTTTTTTTCCCTTAGAAAGAAGAGTGGATTCAAATGATAGGGTGTATTTTGTAAATCATAACACAAAGACAACACAGTGGGAGGACCCTCGAACTCAAGGGTAGGTGTGTATAATGACGATGTAGATACAAAAGATCTTGCTTAATTCTTTTATATCATGATACAGGGGGAAAAGCACTGCTTGCAATTTCTTTTGCAGTTTACAAAATGAGGACCCTCTTCCAGAGGGCTGGGAAATCAGATATACCCGGGAAGGTGTCAGATACTTTGTTGATCACAATACGAGAACCACCACCTTCAATGATCCTCGTACTGGGAAATCTTCTGTGTAAGTGAGAAATTAAATATATTTTTAATGTTTTAACTTTGTATAATTAAATAGTGAAGTCTTCTCATACTATAAAATGATCTACACTTTTAACTGGAATTGCACACTAAAATATGAACAAGTTTTTATATTATAAATTTAATATATTTTAAAATTTTGTGACTTTATGTATGACAAATTTTGCTGTACTGCTCTGATGTTCAGTAGTTTTTATATGCTTTTGAAATACCACAATTGTAAAAATTTTATAAATAGGGAGGGGCAATGAGGTTAACTTGAATAATGAACTAACGTAACTAATAGTTGCATTTTTAAAGAAACAGCAAATGGTCATTAAGAATATTGCTTATAATGATAAACACTCTACCAACAGTAATGTCTAAACCAAGTAGTTCTAAATACTTCTGAAAAAGTTTACATGCAAATCTTCTTTTAAATATTTTGATTAGAGTGGCTTTCTTAATGACTTTTGTATGGGGTGGGGTTTACTTCTGTCAACATAGTGATGACTTATCATTCAACAAGCCTGTAGAATATTGCATTAGAATGTCCTTCATAGTTCCAGAAGCAGCTGAATTTATAAAGACTGACTTAGCAGTCTCTGTCAAGGAAGATGGTAAATTAGATGTCTCTCCTTTATGTTACTTGTAGTTTTTACACATTTCATAGGGATTCGATACCATCTTGATCTTTATCTTTCAAATTTGGTAAACTGAGTTGCAAAAAAAAAAAAAAAAAAAAAAAGAAGGGCAAGGGATGGTGGAAAGGAAGACTGGCATTCCAAACCACCAGCTGCATTTGATCATATCTTACAATAACAATTTTTGTGTATTTTTGAAATCTTCATGCTGTTGTTTAGCATTGAATTGATGTCTGCATGCTTAATGTATCTCAAATATGTTTCCTTACAGAAATAAAGGGCCACAGATTGCTTATGAGCGTAGCTTTAGGTGGAAACTTGCTCATTTCCGTTACTTGTGTCAGGTACTGATTTATTTATTTATTGAAACTATATGAGTTTTTACAAATGTATGTGCTACCTTTTAATGTTACTGCCTTATGATTACAGTCCAATGCACTGCCAAGTCATGTGAAAATCAATGTATCCAGACAGACTTTGTTTGAGGATTCCTTCCAGCAAGTAAGCCTGCAAAAATTATTTTGTTTGTTTGTCAAGACAAAGCAGAAGAACAAAAATGGCCCTAACTAGTTCAGACTAATGGTCCTTCGGGCACAGTAATCTTCCTCTGGTATTAGCTAGTGGGGGTTTCTTAGGGAAGAGTGTAAGAAAAGAAGTATTGTATATAATACTTTTACCATATGATCTTTCATTTTCCAGCTGTATACAATTGAATTGCTTCTTGAGCTTGAAGTGGTTTCTGAGTATTTTAATAATCTTCAAGGAATTTCTCTTCTGTGAGCTTGTCTGTGCTCCCCTTGTGAACTTTTTGCATCTTCAGCCTCCTGTGGTAGAGTTCCATAGCTTAGCCTACTGTGGCATCAGCCACATTGGATTTGCTTTTCTGATTCCTGTGTGTGTTTAGATACCTTACAATACATTGTTTTCTCCAGTTAAAACTGCTTTGTCCTTCAAAGATTAAATCTGTGTAATTGAAGCTTACAGTCCTTGAGCTCTTACAGTCTGCAGCAAATGAATGATGAAAATTCTTGCTGCTGTCACCACAAGACCTCTAGGCAGGGATTCTCTGTAAGAAAAAAGTATATTATAAATGAAAGTATATTGAACTTAGTCTGAATTAAATTACTTATTTTAAGTGATTTCCCTAAAACCAAAAACCATATATATCAGATGAAGTGCCTTTTTGCCTGTTTTCCTTAAATAATGACTACCTTAGGAAGAATGTAAGAACAGGGTACCCATACAGCATTACTTTCCAGATATTCCTTCCACTTGCTAGTAGTCTGCTGCTTGAGGATTTTAAGTCCAAGTTGGTATTTTTGTGTGTAGTTCATTGATTGCTTGTTCCATGAGATGGTCTACTTGCTTTTCAGATTTGTGTAACATTTGACATATATACAATTTCTGTATCAACATCAATTAAATCTGAATGAGTGATGTCGTAACAGTGCATAATTTATAACATTAATTTATTTATTAATAGATTATGGCACTAAAACCCTATGATTTGAGGAGAAGATTATATGTTATATTTAGAGGAGAAGAAGGATTGGATTATGGTGGCTTGGCAAGGTAAAATAAATTTTCTTAAGTAGTTTTTATTTTTTTAATAGCACTCTAGCCTTGATTTCTCTTGCAATCTGACCCTAGGTACCTTTTTAGTCCCCCTAAATGTATTAAGGAGGTGGAACTGGCAGCACTGGCTATTGTCACAGGTTATAACTTCACGTTGGTAAAACTATGGTCTCAGTTTTTCAGTTCTTTGACAAAGAGTGATATTTAAATTGGAATGAGTTTATTTGCTCTGAGTTATTTCATAAACTTTCTATCAGAAAGTCCAATTTTTCTAGAAGTGGGAACTGTGGGAAAATAAAGTGTTCTGCTTATTTGGAAAAATGGCAAGTGAACACCAGATTGGGGCTAATAAGAACAGAAAGGAAATAAACGAAAGGAGAGTAGTGCAGGCATGAAGGAACAACTGACAGATTATGTTGGCTCCAGTGGAATGTGAAACAGCTGGATTATGGGTTTTTCTAGAATCTGAAGTGGAACTCAGAGGGGAAAAATCTGATAACAGGAAAACAATAGACAAGATTTCATTTCTTGACCACAGAGAGTACAACCACTGATTACTGCTGCCAGTTACTTCAATTAAATGTTATTGCTAGGAAAAAAAATTCAGTATTAGTGTACATCCAGGGAATTGGGAAAGGTCATAGGTGATAGAACTTTTCTTGTTAGGTTGTTTTGTTGGTTTTTATTTTTTATATGTAAAGATGTTCTGGTTTGGTTTTGTTCTGGTTTTATGTAGCTTGCTGCATTAAAACTAAATTCAGTGAAAATGTGTAGTATTTATAAGCAAGGAAGCTTGCCTGTAAAGGTTAAACTTCTTTTGGGTACGTGGTGTTTCACTTCTGATTACTCAGTATCACATAGATTTTTAGGGAGTGATTTCAGGGAGGAATTCAATTTTTGCTTTGCATGGGCTTTGTTTGGTTGGGGTCCCTGTTGTGAGGGCCATGGGTTTAGGATGGGAACCAGAACAGTTCATAGATCTTTCCATAGAGAAGATGTTAGAATAATTCACCTGAAGTGTGTTAATCAAAGAAAGTAGAGAATAAATAAATAAATGAATAAATAAAAACTATATAAGCAATGTAGTTTCGTAGTTATTTAAGTCTTGCCCAAGATTTTTTGTGTGAAAGTGAGAACCAGCCAGGATCTCATTGTAACTTGAGCTGAGAGTTCTTAAGTGACACTAAATAAATGTTCATGTACTGACTCATGAAATACAGCATTAATACAAATATAGATCAGCTGTCTCTCAGCAGACTAAACTCAGTGTTCCTGTCAGATTTTTACCTTGCACATAGCAGGACCAATCTGACATTATGTCCTGTGGCAAATTTTTAGCTGTTGATATGAAAAATTCATTGCTTCTGCAACTTCTTGTTACTGTCTGATTTAGTTTATTCCTCCCTTGTTATCTGACTTGTTCTAATTTAAATGCCTATTAAATTTGATGCTTCTGTGTAGTTAATGGAATTGTCTCAGTATGAAACTTGCCTAGAATGCTGTACAACATTTTCGTGCTTACTGGAAGATACACGGAGCCCTCTTAGGGTTGTTGGATCCTGGCTGCCTTTCTCTGTTTACTCTTTCTACTTGGCCTTTGGGTTGGAAGTGTATCATAGTGACTCATGATCCATGACTTGAGTTTTATGGCACTGTTAGGAGAAACATGCCAGCAAACCTCATTTCTATTCCTTGATCTTGAGTAAATGCAAGGATAGAGGAGATGTCTCTTAACTATGACAGCTGAAAAGCAGTCAGAATGGAATTAAGTCCCTACAGTTATTACGGGACAGACTTTCAGCTGTTTTTATGGCTTATCCCTAGGCCTGCTTGTTTAGTACCAAACATTTATACAAAAGCCCCTGAGTATGTATGACTCTTCTGAGATCTCTGCAAATACTATATGCAAATATTATAAAGAAAGAAATATTATCAAAATCACCTGTCTGAACACTGAATACCAGATTCTAGTATTATTTCAGATCAGCTGAGTTGAAAAAAATTGAGGTGGTGAAAAACATGCGTTCATTTAACCTCAGCAGAAAGATACTTTTACACTGTTGTGTCATGTAGGCTTAACCAATGCATGGTATTTTGTTAAACTACAGTAACTCAGTATGTGTTTTGCTGTGAGACTGGAAAATCAAATAAGGTGTGCTGAGGTTTCAATTTGTTTGTTTTGTTTTGTTTTATCTAAATTGTTTATAATAAGCATGGAATAATCTGTGATTTTTTTTGAGTAAAGATGTGAGTTGTAGACAGTAAAGTAGGGATGAGCAGGGTAAATGCTGTGTACATGTTGAGGCAAGGACTGGTTAAGAAAAAATATTACTGATAGGCAGCTAAAACCTGTGCTGTGAGGGTGTGTTCAAGATGAAAATCTTAACTATAATTTCTAAACTTTGGAAACCATGATTTTCTAACATTATTTGTTCTGATAATTAATTTTCTATATTTAAGAAATATATAATACCATATATTATTCTGTGATTCTAATACAACACTGTTTATATTATTTTTCAACGTTTGCGTATATTTTGACCATTTTGCTGGTTACCTAAGGGGAATGGTGATAAACATCTGTATTTGATGGTTTTTATGTGTATACATGTGTTTTTTTCCTTAGAGAATGGTTTTTCTTGCTTTCCCATGAAGTACTGAACCCTATGTACTGCCTATTTGAATATGCTGGCAAGAGCAACTATTGCCTGCAGATAAATCCAGCATCAACAATCAATCCTGACCATCTTTCATATTTCTGTTTCATTGGGCGCTTTATTGCCATGGTAGGTTAGATTTTTAAGGTTTTATATTTGCTGTAGCTATGCATTTACTCCTGAACAGTATTTGTTTGTACAGTTATTAAAGGTTATATTAATCTCGTAGAAATGGAAGATTAAGGCATATAAGTTTATTGAGCCAATTCCCTGAGAGTTAAGTCTCTTGCACACTCATGTTTCCTGGGAGAGTTATCAAAGTTAAATATGATGTTCGATATAATATTTTATTTTCATCAATCGGATGTGTGTACTTCATGCAAACTGTTGTCTGAGTGTCTGAATACTGATGCTCTGAAAAATGTGACTAAATATTTTGTGAAAAAGGCTCCTCAGTTGGACCTGGTATACCTGAGGATATATGAAAAAATGAGTTAGAATGTTTTGCAGAGTACACTCGGCCTTAATTTAAAGGTATATAAAAGTCAGATACCGAGGAGACCAGAAGCTGTCAGGGAGCTGATTCTCTGCCATCTGATTTCTCTTAAACTACAAGCTGATCAGGCATGTTGTATCATTTCTTCGGTATCACTGAGTCGGTCTTCTATAGTGACTCCTGTTCTGTCACATTTCTTTCCCTCCATGTAGTGATGCAGTCATCTTTCCACATAATCATCATGTCTACAGGTAGTCCTCAGCAACATCCCTCAACCTGGTGAATATTGAAACCAAAAAGAGTAGATACAAGTGCATTTTCATACTGAAGGGACTGTTGCCTTGTGTTGTTCAGGCTTTTTGTACAAAATTAGAATAAACACAAGCCAAGCATAATGTAAATGGAAAAATACTTTCAGAGTTAAAATAAATTAGGTTTGGGTGGTTTCTTAGTTCTGCTTTTCTTATAGATGTTTCTTAAGAAATGTATTCAGCTATGACAATAACATCTCTGATTTCAAGCGTTTTATGGCTGAGTTCACAATTTTTGTGTTGTGATGAAAATTTACCTCATTGGGTTTACCTTTCAATAGGCTGCCACCTTTTTTCTTTATTTTAGAGTCCTCAGCAAGTTACAGGGCCGCTTAGCAGCCAGGTGTGATAAAGCCAGTTAGGTGCTAGAGCCAGTGTTTCTTTGCTGGTGATTTTTGATCTTGCCTGTAAGAAATGTTAACTTTAGGAAAGCTATTTCATAACAGTACAGATCATAACAGAGAACTTAATTAAAGTAATTAATGTAATTAAAAGACAAACTTTTATTTCCTGAAGTATTTATGTGTTTATATTTTAAATTCTCTAAGCGGGGCAAGAGAGAGACCTGTGTAATGCTGCCTGATGTGGTCTGTTGCAAGGTTTGAGTATTCATGGTTTATACTGGATGGAGCTTTCTGCAGTGCTTCCTGGGATACCCTCTAGTGGCTTAAGATAGCTCAGGTAATAATGCAACTGGGAAATTAAGTGGCAGTTTCTGTTCTTCTCACAGTTCTAAAATAGTAGTGAGATTTTTCATTTTAAGTACTGAAGTAGCCACAGTTGTTTTCAACTGAAACAGGATTAAACATAAAGAATACACATATTGCTTCATAATAAATTAAGTTGGCTGAGGCAACTTTTATGTCTTGCTGTAAGATTATCATACGCATCAAATAATGTGATTTTAAGAGCTTAATTTAGCAAAAGCGGGAAATCATATACCCAGATGCTGTACTTGACATGGAATTTCTACCAGGTCACCCTCCCATGAGAAGAATAAACTAGTTTAAAAGTAAATAGATATATAAATAAACAAAAAAAATAAATACAGGCCTTTAAGAGAACCACTTCAAGGTCTCCTTAAGCAGAAGAAAATGCATAATAGATTAAACGTAAAAGGGGGAAATTAGGTGGGGAAAAAAGATGGAGCCTAGAGGAAATGGGTTGTTAATTGGCATTTCTGCTCACAGAATTTCAGCTGAGAAGGAAGAGAAACAATGAATGCATGGCCTATGTTTAGGATGGTTTTTTTAAAAGAGCTATTTTAGTGGAGAATGTGTACTTGATAAAGTTGAGGGGAAGAAAGGGTTTTCATGGTTATGGTTGTGTTCTGTGATATCTCAGATGCACTGAGTCAGTGTAGGGGTTAACACTCTGTGTGTGTGTGTATGTGTGTAATGCTGTGCTTCAGTGCTATTACTATTCAGCTTACACCCTATATGCTTGTGTGGTGAGACAAGTGTGACCATGTTTTGGATTTGGGTATTTTTTTCGGTTTTGTGGAGAACTTAATTCCTCAGTTCTGTTACTCACCTATAAAAAAAAAAAGTGGTTCCCAAAGCTCTTTCTTACAAGCTGCAGTAGCATTCTGTAAATGATGATGTTGCTGGATGTATGTATGTAGTAAAAAATGGCAGTAATACTCAAGTAGGATCTAATATTCTGATCAAGTAGGATAAAGTAATACTTTGCAATTATGCCTATTCACATAACTGAGGGAAGAAGGGATGAAGTCCTTTTATGAGAAGTTTTATTTTTAATCAAAGGATTATTAAATTGTAATAGCATATGCTTGGATAAATTTTGTCCATTTCTTTTGCTTCCCATTTAATTTAATGTTTTGTTCTTTATAAATATGGCTTTATAAAGCTGCCACTGCTATTTAGTGCTTTTCATTATTTGAAGGAGAAAGAAAAAAAAGACTTCAAGTCCAGAAACACTTTAATAATTCAGTAGTTCAATAAAAATTAAACATATTTTTCTGTTCAACAGGCATTGTTTCATGGGAAATTTATTGACACTGGTTTTTCTCTGCCTTTCTACAAACGAATGCTGAGCAAAAAGCTTACTATTAAAGACCTAGAATCTATTGATACTGAATTTTACAACTCCCTAATTTGGATAAGGTTTGTAGTTTATTTTTTTGTATGTGTGTTTGATACATTATGGAGTTTTTGTTCACCAAGAATTCATTGCAATATTTTTTTTTTTCTTTTCATCCAGGGATAATAACATTGAGGAGTGTAACTTGGAAATGTACTTCTGTGTGGATATGGAGCTCTTAGGGAAAGTAACCTCACATGAACTGAAATCAGGAGGTTCAAATATCTTGGTAACTGAGGAGAACAAAGAAGAATATATTGGGTAGGAAGGTGTAGATGCTGAAAAAAGTATTCCATGTTTCTCCTGTTGCTCTAGCCTTTTTTGACATGTTGATTTCTATTGGTTTGGTTTTGTTTTGTTATTTTACTTTTGCTTCCCATGTTACTATGTAATTGTGACTGTTATTGAAATGGTACCTTGGTGTACATGTTGCTGTCTTGATACACAACTGCTTGGTACAAAAGGAGACTATGTGGAGAGAAGATGACGATGATGTAATGATGATGATGATGTAATGCTCTTATATGTACAGTGAGAGAACAGGTGAAACTGAAATGAGCAAGCTTGTTTTCAGTAACTTCAGGTAACAAATCCATGTAGAGGGAAGTTGTCTATTTGACAGAAGATCCTAAAATTGTTTAGAACTTTGCTATAAATGTGGAAACTGAAATTCAGAATGGTGTGTAACGTGCTGTGATTTCAACTGTTTTTTTAAACTCTTTCTACTACTCTTTTCTGTTTATTTCCTGATTTTATCACTGCCCTTCTTTTTCTGAACCTCTGTTTCTGATCTGTCTATTCAGTGATCTCAAAAGCAGATGTACACACACCCTTTTCTGTGATGCAGTGTATGTCCAGTGCTGCACATAAAGTTTCCACTTAAATTAGTGGTCTTCAGTTTCTCAGAGAAACAGTTTCTATAGTATATAGATAAATTAAGGTTAATAATAATACTTCTTTTTAACTGGAATGGTAATCTAAGTTACATCTTGCTACACCACTATTATCTAAATGTGAAGATTTGTGATAATATAGTATAGTAGGTTCCTTATAGTTAATGGAATTGAACAGTGTAAGAAGTGAAACTTGAGGGATTCTTACATGATGGGAACACATACACAATCCTGTGTGTTTGAACTTTTTCATGTTGAATGCTAATTGATGTTTAATTCCTGTTTGGTTTTGTTCTATCCCAGGCTAATGGCAGAGTGGCGATTTTCTCGGGGAGTTAGAGAACAAACCAAAGCTTTTCTTGATGGTTTTAATGAAGTAGTTCCTCTACAATGGCTGCATTATTTTGATGAAAAGGAACTGGAGGTGAGTTTTTTTATTCAGCATTTTTACCTTTTGCAAAGGTGATATGTATGGAGAGATTAAATGGATAGGTCAGCTTGAATCTCTCGTCTGTGCATGCTGTATTTGATAGCTTCTGGAACATGGAGAATTTATTTAGAGCAGTGGGATTAAATAATGATTAAAATTGAATCAGTGTTCTTGAATCAGGGTTTTGGTGTTCATCATTAAAATGTATTTTTGAAAGTTTCTGTGAAAGTATATGAGATCACTGATGGATCTACGAGTCACAGACTTTTCCCTCTGTGGTAGATGGGCCGAATTACTGTGTAACAGACACAGAAATTGATTGTAGTGCATAGTGTTCGCTTAGGATCAAATACACTGTCTAAGACAGGTTCTGGGGTTCTTATATTTAAAGCCTGGAGGAACCAACAAGGCATGAAATGGAACTTTGCCAGATCCTCAGTATGCAACCCAAGGGCTGATAACAGGGATTGCTTGCATGCTCCATGTTTACTTAACAATCAGCCTGGCCTGTGTTCACTCTTGGGGTTGTGATCTGGAGTAGGGACAAAAGGCTCTGTAGTGCTGTGCTCATTTATTTCCGTGTGACTTGACAACTTCCCCTGTATTTAATGAGCAGTTTTCTGAAACCTTCTTACGTTAAGTAGGGAGAATTTTTTTCTAAAAAAATACTTTGCTCAGTCTTACTCAGTGTTGAGTTTCATAGAAGGATTTGCCTTTAGAACTTTCAGCTTTCATTGCTTCTTGTAATGAATAATTTTCAGACTTATACTTTGTAATGTGTTTTTCCTTTATTAGTAGTAGCAACAATTTAATCATCGTTGTTTTGGAATATGAGGTGAAGATTTAATGGAAAGGCTAATATATGCCTTAATATAAAAATTCCTCTTATGGAAAAGGTAGTAGCGTCTATTACTGTGCTATTAGTTGGAAGATACCACTGTGCACAAGTCTCTGATATTCAGTCTTTCAGAACACTTATACACAATTTTGGATAACTGTAAACTTAGGATAAATGAAAATCTAATTGTGTAGCAAAATGAAAAAAGTACCAGTCCTTTTTTCAGAGCAGAAACTTTCATTTTTGTTACCATGTCTCATACAAAATAGAAAATACTCCTAATTTTTTTTGTTTAATTGAGAAATTGTTCTTTTTTCTAGGTTATGCTCTGTGGTATGCAAGAAGTAGATTTAGCAGACTGGCAGAGGAACACTGTTTATCGTCATTACACGAGAAATAGCAAGCAGATCATATGGTTCTGGCAGGTATGTTAATCCAGTTACATTTCTGACTTCTGTAGGTTTTGTTCTGATCTGTAGCACAAATGGCATGTGTAGTGGAAGGCTGTCCAAATGAAAGTTCTTACAGCTTCCTTTCTTTTTTTCTTTTCAGAGAAGGAAAGGAGGATTACTGGTCTTTAGGGAGGATACTTTAGGGTGAGAAATGGCAGACAGATTCACACATTACATTTGGATGCTGGCTTGTGAATATTTTCTTCTGTATTATGTCCTTACTGATTATTCAGTGAGGGTTATTTTATTCTTAGTGATCTACCTTCTAAATGTTCTTATATGTAGTACACCTGTACATCTTCACTTTCCAGTACATGAAGGGAGCCTACAAGAAAGATGGAGAGTGACTTTTTACTAGAGCAGGTAGTGACAGGACAAGGGGAAGTGGATTCAAAGAGAGGGTAGCTTTAGGTTAAATATTAGGAGGAAGTTCTTTGCTGTGAGGGTGGTGAGGCACTGGAATAGATTGTCCAGAGAAGCTGTGGATGCCCCATCCCTGGAGGTGTTCAAGGCTAGGCTGCATGGAGCTCTGAGCAACCTGGTCTAGGGGAAAGTGTGCCTGCTGTTGCAGAGGGGTTGAAACTAGATGATCTTTAAGGTCCCTCTCAACTCAAACCATTCTGATTTGGTGATCTAAAAATGTCACTTAGTACTTATGATTATTTGTCATATTAACTGTTGCAGTCTGGCACTGACTAATCTTCACTCACATTTTAATGCAGTTGGCTAAGGAAAACCCTCAAATACTATTCTGGCACTACTGTACAAATTTTCCCAAAGAGAAGTCAGACCTAGGATCTTCCTATCTTTTGAAAAGCCACCATTTTAGAGGTGCTTTTGACTAAGTTTCTCTGGGAAGCTTTCTCTGGCGGTTATTTCCTATCTTATTTATATAATAAGATCTGATGGTAAATCTTTCTAAGATACTTTGTACTGAAAGAATCTAAACCAGAAGTTTAAGTACCAACATTTATATGCAAGTTTTTCTTAGTCTTGAAATACCCAGAGTCTGTGGCTAGACTAGTGCTGTGTTTAATAAATTGCAGTAGTCTTTATACAAAGCATTGACATGATTAATATTTTAGTGTAGAATACAATAGGTGAGGATTCTTCTTATTTGCTTTTCCCAGCCTTCACATTGTAATGGCTGACAGTGCATATAATATGAAATCACTGTTCTTTTCTCTCCACCCAATTTTGCTAAAGTAAAGAAATGCGAACAGGTACTAAACAAGGTGGTGTATTTTCAAATGGAATTATACTTTTTCAACCATTTCATGGGGTTTTTGGTTTTGTCCAGCTGTGTTAAAGCTTTTTATTAAGTAATTTGAATTTCTGTGCCTAGTTTGTAAAAGAAACAGACAACGAGGTTCGCATGCGACTTCTGCAGTTTGTCACTGGCACTTGCAGATTACCACTGGGTGGATTTGCTGAACTTATGGGTAAGTAAAAGGTGACCAGAACTGTCTTATATTGTCACTGTTTCATTTGCAAATGAGCCTTGCTGCAAGTGTACAGATAAGAGGAACTTCATGTTCATCGCCTTGGATCTAAAGGGCTTTTTATATGATAAATCCCATGAATACATTTATAAACTATTTGGAAATTAGCTTGTTTCTGTGAGAAGCATGTTCATGTAAGTCATGTAAGTAATGAACTCTGCTGTGTCTGAGTTGTGTCTTATGTCATGTATATATCATGTATGGTACTTAAAAGGAACAGATTACACTTTTCAAAATCTTATTTTCTAGGAAGTAATGGTCCTCAGAAATTCTGCATTGAAAAAGTTGGTAAGGAAACCTGGTTACCAAGAAGTCACACTTGGTGAGTAATGTGTAAACTTTCTGTACCTTTACTGGTTTATCTCTTCCAGGCTTGCATGGGCCAAAACAAATGAAATCTAATTTGGATCAATTTTCTGTCTCCATCTTCAGCTTCATTTGATTGCCCTGACATGCCAGTATTGAAAACTTTCCTAGTTGCCCTCTTAAATTTTGCAACTGTGCTGAACAGTTTGTCAGTGTCAGATGTATCAAAATTATAAGAACATCCTTGTGTAGAACTGAAAGGTGTTTTCCTAATTCTTTTAGAGAATATTAAATAACTGAACGTATCATGTTATTAGTAGGTACGTAGTTGTTAGAGTTATTATGCAGTAACATTATAAAAGATAAAATGAATGAAGATAAAATGAGAAGAAGTAGCATGACAGAAATGACAGCAAACCTTCAGAAGAAGGATGCTTAGCCAAGAATGCTGATACTTTTTTCCACCAGGCTTCAGATGGGCCATTATTGGCTTGGCATTCCTGTGCATACTGAGCTGGTAGATCAGGTACACAGATCAGTTTTTTATACAGACTGCAAAATGGACACACTTTCCTTTGGCAACCTGTGACAATAATATTCATCATACTTTTAAACTGCTTAAGGGTATCCTCCATTTTACATTTTCTCCTCTGAATTTTGTTTGAGTGATGTTTGCAAGAGTTTAACATATCTTGTCTAGGATAATTTTGAGGAAGACATGGAATGGAATGTTTTGGTAGAAGTCTTTTAGGGCAAAGTTTAGAGGGAAAAAACACCCACCTAGATGCAAGCATGTGTAGGAAGGAGAAAAGTTCAGCTTTTTCATGCTGCTGTTGAAATTTGGAGATGCATCAAACTAGGATTATATTAAACTTCATGCTGAAAATTTCCTTTTCTATGTATTACTATTATAAGCAATTATTATTGTAAGAATCATGTTTTTATATTATATTTTTTTGAAGTATTATAGTTTTCTGTATCTTAGACAGTCTTTAGTCTTTCACCATTCTGTTTTTTTATCTGGTAATAGTCTTTTGTTTCTTAAAATATTCCTCTGGAACTTTGACTGTTCTTCCTTGTAGAAATGCCAAGGCAGTGAGATTATGCTGATTGTTATTTCTTTTTTTTCTAATAGTTAGATCAGAACATTTATAACTTCTACTATAACAATTGAATTCTGTAGAGTTCTACATAGGATTTAAGTAAACTTAACAAAATTCTGTTTTTTTTCTGCTCAGTTTTAATCGTTTGGATTTGCCACCGTACAAAAGCTATGAACAACTAAAAGAGAAGTTGCTCTTTGCCATTGAAGAAACGGAGGGATTTGGACAAGAGTAGAAGTGACTTCTAGTTAAAAAGGATATCTTGAATAATAAAAGGCCCAGCCAACTAAAATTGCACACTTAACTGTATATAAGCTTTTTGTTTGTACAGTGATCTTTCTGGAACTCTAAAAGTTTAATTGTTCTCCGTTCTTCCACAAATATATGCAAAACAGTTCAGCCTTTTCTACTTTTATTTATTGCCCTTTCAAAAGACCAGAAAAACCCCTCCATAAATTTTGAAAGCAGACAAGAGACTTATTTAAAATATATATATATAAAAATATAAATATATATACTAATTGGCTCTAGTTTTATAGAGCTTTAAGTGTATGAAAAGTTGCAGCCATTCAAAAGGGCCTGGATTTGCTTTATCTTGGCTTTATCATTCAGAAAAATGTTTAAACTGCTCAGTGTTCTCTAAAGAAACATCTCCAAGTTTGTTTTACTGCATGGCTGTTCTAAAAGGTGTTAAAGGCTTAGGCCAAACGTATCCTAAATATGTAGAAAGATGCTGCTGGTATTTGAGACGACAGAATCTGTTCTTCTGTCAGTTTAATTTTTTTAAATACATAAATAGCTGATATATCCCTCTCTACTGATGTAGCCAAGGTCATGAATAAAGCCTTTACTACTTGCACAAGAGTCATGTACAATGAGATGAATGTGATTTATTGTTGAAAGGAATTGGTGCCACTGTTCTGACTTACTGCAGGAGCTGAACAGAGTATTTTAATTAATTTGAGCAGCATTGAAATTTGTTTACATAGTACCTTGGGTTATTACCACGAGGATGTTAGGTAATCATCAAAGAAAAAATAATAAAAGAGAAAATATTACCCATTCTCTTCTTGGTCTGGTGTCTTGCAGGCTTTTTTTTTTTTTTAATTTGGTTTTGTTTTGTTTGGTTTCCCTTTTCAATCTGTGATGTCCTTTTTATAACTTTGTAGAGTTATATTAATGTAAACTGAGCTATAAGGGTATACAAAAGGTAATGTGAATTTTACTGCTTTCTGTGTTCTTGTTCAGTTTCAGATACTGGATCTAGTAAACTCAAATAAAATGAAAGTTACTTAGGCTTTGCACAGATAAAAATATTATTTAGTATTAAATACTCTAATTTCTCTAAAATTATTACTGAAATTTAGATGTATTTGAATAAAGTACATCTAAAACCTGTCATCCTTTTATGTAGATCAGGTTTGTCCTAAGTGCACAATAATATAAAAACATTTTAAAATTAGTTTTATTGGCATTTTATTGGCATATATTTGCTGAACTGCAAAAACACGTTTAAAAAATACTAAAATTTAACACCTTCTTCATGTGAATTATATTAAATGCTACTTCTAGCAAACTGTGCTTCCTTATTGTAGAGTAAAAATGTGTTTTAAATCACCATTTGTAATATGCTTTAAATATTACCTGTAAATTCCATTACATTTAAATTACACAGAATTTTGTACACACATGAAAATAATTTTAGAATACGATTCAACACACTTGTGTTAACATATCATATTGCACTGTTAAAAGTGTACATGCAGAAAAAACCAGCTATATCTGTTCATGTATCTTTCCAATGCAGCAGCTGAATTCTGCCAAAAGTTTATTTTTCTACATATTAGGTTGTCTTAAGGCTTTGTATTCAATATGCACAGCTTACACCCTGGAGCTGTAGCTGTACAGAGCTCTGGTCACAGCAGTGGTGCAGCGGGCTCAAACAGACTGCTGTCTTACATGAACTTTTCTGTAAGAGCTTCAAAAATTTCCACCACTTTGAGGGTTTTTCATACACCACCAAATATCTTTTGCAAAACCATTTTTATATAGCACTAAATTCATTTGAAGTGCAAATCCACATAAATTATCACTTATGCTGGTTAGAATGGAGGAAGTTTAAGAAGACAAACCAAGAAGGTCAAAGGCCAGGCACCAGGAGTGTGTGTGTCACTTGCCTAAAAGACAAGGAGGGCTAAATGTCACAGTTAATGAATTTGCACTAATGAATGACTTGGTGACCCACTACCAACTGCTGAATTTTGTGAATCTGTGAGTAACTGAATGAAATAAAAAAGACAGCACACCACAAGAATGTAGTTGTTTTATTGTTTTGGTAACTTCAGCTGTCTCATACCTGCAGTGGTTTTTCCTGGGGGTAAGGATTAGTAAGCATGAAAAAACCAAATCCAGTAGCTTTTTGTCCATGTGTATGATCTGTGAATTGATGTCAAGAGCCTGACTGAAAGAATGGCTCTGGAGGAAAAGAAAGCAAAATAATATACCTCTGTGCTTCTGTGTACAGTACTTGAATTTTCTGGGAATTCCAGTAAGACTTGTAATTTTTTCTTTTCCCACTTGAATTTCTCATACTTCACCTATACTTGGGGGAGTAAGTAAGGCAGCAATGGTTGGAGATCAGACCAGGGAACCAGGGAGGTAATACTACTTTAAGCTGTTGTATAGTTGATGGGTTTTGTTGTTTCCTTTCTTCCTGCAACTCAGCTGCTTTTCACTACACACTTCACAGCTATTACTTTGGCTATTCTTCCTTTGTGTAGCAGCAGAAAAGGCACCTAAGTAAAGATGCCTCTGCCACAAAGCTACTACAAGCGACGGTGCAGATGTTTTTGTGGAATATGAATGCAGAAAATTCTCTCAAACACTCTGAGAGAGAATTTCTCTCACCCACCCTGAGACACTGTAACATAGAGGACTCCATTATGTTGCTTTGCTAATAGAAAAATTTAATTACTTTATGGTAGTTGAGAAAATCCTGTTTTAAGTACCGTTTTGTGGCATCAGGCTTTAATTCAAGCCCCAGATTCTCTCTCAACTGTGAATTTTTACTGACTTAGCTCAGGCTTTGTTGCCAGTCTAACACTTTATGCTGTTCTTCATCTTCCTCCTTGAATTGCAATACCCTTTTCTAGTAAAGCAAACTCTAGGTATTTTCTAGTCAATTTTTTTTCTAGGCTGTTCTACTGAGAATACCACATGTTGGTATTGCCTACTATTTCTTCATTCTTTGGTCCATTTTTTCTCTTGGGTAACTGGAATATAGTTTGGCTGGACACCTAAGATTACTTTGTATTTCTGGTGAAAATTCCTGCCAACATAGTAGAAGTACCAAGAAGAAATTTTTATGTGTACAAACAGAAGTTCATATCCTTCCACAAGGAAGTTCCTTTCTAATGTACTGGGAGCGTGTATTCCTCCTGTTGTTACAGTCTAGGGTAAAGCGTGTGTGCCCAGCAAACGTTTACAGCCACTAAATCATCACAACGCTTCTCACTGCCCATGCTGACATCACCCATAAAGGGATTTTCTTAGATGTTCCCTACTTGCTCTTTTTTCCTTCATTTTTTATTTTAAACCACTACACATTCTGCAAAGTCAAACACTAGCATTTAAGAGAATTGGAATTCAGATGGTGCAGCCTTAATGATAAATCTGTAGGAGCATCTATTACTCTTAAAGGCCACTGAACTTCACAAGAAAACACTGTAGAAAAAACTGCAGGATTTTAATTATGTCGTTTAACCCTGTCCCTCCTTTCTTTAAACTTATGCTAGTCATGTTTCTTATTATTCCTCATAAATAACTTGTAGTTTAGAAGTGGAAAAAACTTAATTAAAAATCCAGACTATTACTCTCCCAGCCTTTTCTGTCTAACTATAGACCCTGCTTGTGAATGAAACCCCCTTCATTCCAATGTAAATGGACAGACAGGATCACATAATGAAACAGATCTTCCAGTTCAGATTTTAATAGAAATGAGAGGGAGACAGAAGGTCTGAGCTGTACTTATAGTAACAGCTTCAGTAAACTGAAGTAGTATTTGGGGCCTTTTTCCTATGCTGCTCAAACCTGAGCCACTGAATTTCCATTATCTTGTTTCTTCTTATATAGAATTAAGCAGCTCCAAAGCTTCTTTCTGTACCTGAAAGAAATAAATGTAAAGTAACAGTCCCAGGTAGTTACAGACTCTACTAGCAAAACTTCCCTCACAAGCAGCCAAATATTTCCCTGCAGTTGTGTAAATTCAGAACAGTCCTAGGATGAGTAATTTTTCTTCTGTAGTTCAGGATGTTCAATACGTGAAATATGAATAGGAATAAAACACTTAAGCCAGTGTCTTCAGTGTCATTCACTTACTACATAAATGAAGTTTCTTTGTGTTGAATACAGATACTAGTTCTTGATTTGCTGCAGTACAATAGGAGCTTGCAGGAAGTTGTCCTACCTCTGACCATACCCAACCAACCTAGGGATTTCAACACTCCAGACAGTGACTAAGAAGTGAGACCATTTCTGAGGCTCTGTTTGCCTAAGGTTTCTGGTTAAAATCTAATAAAATTTTAATATGATCTCTTAACATTCATATTAAAACACCCAACAACAAATCGAACAGCAAAAAAATCTCAACATCTCTCCTCTCTCCTCAAACCACAAAAAAACCTCCAACCCAACAATGGTAATGACATAGCAAGCCATGCAGACAGTGTAAGCCAGATACCTCTGAGTATCTGCAGAACAAATGTTCAAAAAACCTAGTTATGCTAAGACAAGAATTCAAATGTCTTTGCACAGGCCAGTTTCCTTCATAGTGGACTATCAAGTCTAATTCCCAATGAATTTTGCATTTTACACATTCACACAGAGAATGGAGAGAATGCTGCCTTTCTCAGTTCAGCAGCTCTGCACCCTTCTAAGAGATTAGTAAATAGATGTCTGTACCAGAAAGCCACAAGTAGCTGAAGCAGATCAGTGGTTTAACAACTTGGCTACTGCACAAAATTCACTCCTGACTATTCTTTAGGAACAATTCAAAAAGTAAGACAAGTTTCTTGGATCACTGGTTTCGTGTGTGCCTCCGGCTACTAGTAACTGTTAGAAGAACTGACCAGTTCCTTACACACCTGAGACCACTACTCCTTTAGGCTAATAAATTCTGAAATATTGTGAAAGGCATTGGAGGAATGTAAGACTTGTACTTCCACTGAAAGATATCACTAAAGGAACTCATTTTTGGAAGAAACAGTTTGACAAGGCTTACTATCAAATCTACAGAGGGTTCTGAAACACTGTTTGGTAGTGTTTTTTCTGAGGTATGAAATGCAAAATCCTACCGAAGTATTTCTTACATTGGACAGTCAGAGTGTTGTATGGACATTCAGAATGTGCATCTCAACTGCAGCTTAATGCTAAATGAAATAGAAGTCAATCAACCATAAAAAAATAAAATGGAAATGAGGCTTTGTTAGTCCTGATGCTAACAGTATTGTTTTTGAAAGGTAACTGCAATTGCTCTGGTTTATACTGAATGCATCATCACGTATGAACAAGTCTAATGGATTACCTCTCTTGGAAGTACTTTGAATGTTTAGGTAGGAAACAGATGCCTACCCTCCAAACCAGAATCCTGCATAGTTTCAAAGGGTCATTAAGTGACTCATGACATCTAGCACTGGGGATTTGCTGTCAAAGATACATTACCTTAATTTGTCTTATTCAGATCATCTGAATCTCTCCCTAGGGGCCTGGAAAGGACTGCAGTGTTAAGGTTTTGGTACATCTGGGGTTTTTTTCTTCCTTGTGTTCACATGATTGTGAGCTATTCCAAAATGTAATTCCTACCTTACCCATTCCAGGCATATGAAAGGTGATTCTGTGTTCACACAGAAACAGACTAGTGAGGTGCCTGTGTGAACTTCAGAAACACAACTAAGGTCGTTGTTGGCACTATGGAACTACCATGAAGAAGAAAGGATAACAGTTCTCTGCAATGAATAAAACAGAGTATTTCCAACTAAAATTTCCAGAGGTGGCTAGTA